TTCTTTTAGTCTCTCTCTAACACAAAAATACATAAAAAACATTAATTATCAAAGGTACTTAATTACACAAATAAAAGATTATAATATAAAATTTTTACAAAAAATAAAAAATGATAAAAAAATGTGAAAAAACTTTCAGCGACGACAATAAAAGCAGTTTCAATGGCGACAGAAAGTGTCACCACTGAAAGAAGATTCAGCGGCGACTTTTGCAAGCTTCAGTGGCGACATAAAGCGCCGCCACTGAAAGGAGATTTAGCGGCGACAAAAGGTCGCCGCTGAAAGCGAGCTTCAGTGGCGACAGAAAGCATCGCCACTGAAAGTGTTCACTTTCAGCGGTGACCATTCAAGTCGCCGCCGTAGTGTACGCCGCTGAAAGTTGCCACAACAACGGTGACAATAATAAGTCGCCACCATAACTATCACTTTTGGCGGCGACACACTTGTCACAGCAGAAAGGCCTAACTTTTAGCGGCAACACTTCTTGTTGCCGTTGAAAGTCATATTTTCAGTGGTGACTTCCTTTGTCGCCGCTGAAAGTCATCACTGAAAGTCCAATTTTTTGTAGTGAGTGTGTGACATGAATACATGCAAAAAAAATTGTTTATGCACCAAAATATGCTGAATTTTAATCGAATTTAATATTTCTTGAAACCGCTGAAATTAGAGAAACCAGAAATCCAACATTTGGGAAAAGAAAGATATGAAAAGAATGCTATCTTTTATTGATAAATTCATGGCTCACTGACGATGAAGTACAACCAATCAAATTCAACCACTATAGTAAGAATGTGAATAAGTAAACAAAAAAAAATCCCTGATAGTGATAACCCTTCTGTTTTATTTTTAATTTGTGTGTATAATTTCTTGTATATTGTTCCTTTTCCCGGATCAGTTACATATATTTCCTTCTTAAGCTGTTGCGGCATTGGAGTTCGCAGCTTTCATGGCCCCAAATCTTGGCTCCTTAGCCTGAAACTTAAGTGCAGCATAAAGCTTCATGTAATCTTCAAACACAAATTTCGGATAAATCTGTTTTATTTCTTCTTCCTTTCCCTCAATCAATTGTGGAGCTGGATGAATAAAAGCATCACTTCCTGGATTGTAGAATGAAGCTACGGACATCCTCGTACCATTAGTTTGTGCAATCACACGATGTTTCACATTCTTGTACTTTCCATTTGTGATTACCTGCTCATGAAATTGTCAAGGATTAAATTTATATTACATAGCATTAATTCTCTAGTACTGTAGTGTAGTTTATGTAACCATGGAGAGAGGTAAATATAAGTTGGGTCCCATCTGCATTATCTCAATTACTCTATAGTTGCACAATTTACTGTATTGTTTGTGAGCATGAACATAATATCAATTGTACATATAGGCTTGGTTTGAATGGAGGGAAAAATGGGAAGGAAATAAAAAGAGAATACTTGGAAGAAAAAGTTCCAAAAACAGTAAGAAACTTTACTAACTTTACTAATTTTGGAAGTTTTTCCTCCTAATATTCTTTTCTCTTTATTTTTCCCCATGGAAACTAAGGAACAAGTTTTATGAGAGCTTTTAATTTATGTCTAATACTTACCTCAAGTTGGTCACCAAGATTCACCACAATTGAGTGGCGCTTTGGAGGCACATCAATCCATTGGCCGTCTTTGAGAAGTTGGAGGCCGCTGACCTTGTCATCTTGGAAGAGAAGAATAATGCCACCGGCATCGGTATGGGCACGGAGACCTTTCACAAGTTCAGGATTAGGGCAAGCAGGGTAGTTGGCAACCTTTGTTCCAAAATTTGGTCCTCTTGACCCATGGAATGCCTTCTTGAGGTAGCCCTTCTCCAGTCCAAGATTCTCACAAAGCAAGTCTAATAGTTCCTCTGCAAGTTTCTGTATCTCTTCAGCAAATTCCTTCATTATCTTCCTACATTTGATTTGAATTTATATAGTTAGTATAATATGTACACACGCATGTGTATACAGTGATATATAAAACAGGTTTAATTAGTTTCATTTAGTTTGATTTTTCACCCGTATTTTTCAGTAAGATCTGGGCTTTCAGACAAGTTTGAGTCAGGCAAGTGACGCAAGAAGAATGTGCTTTCCCAATCCATGTTCTTAACTTCAGCTCCAACACCTTCTAATGCTTTGCTTGCCACAAATTCTTTGAACTTTTGCTCCATGCATTTCCTATAATGTTCTTTTGTTAACCTCTCCACTGTGTCCAAAAGTTCATGGGCTATCCCTTGGTTCACCAACTACAAAAGAAAGACAATCAGATTTTATTTAATAATTGCCACCAAAATTAACCAAAGAGTAGTAATAATACTCCCTCCGTTCCTTATTATAAGAAACAACTACTAAAATCATGCAGTTTAAAATGTTATTTAAAGTTTGTTAAAAATGATAAATGTGCAAGATATATACATATTTTTCTAGTTGTACTTTTCTTTGTAAAGAGAATACATGAAAGATACTTTGAATGGATATTCATTGCATATATATAATAAGTGACATATATTTAATATATCAGTTTACTAATGTCCATGATCATACATGCTTGTGGCAGGATTTATTGATGCAATGGTTCTCTGAAAAGTAGGAGGAAAGACGAGGAAAAAAGAGATGTGCAATGTCTTCAAAATGTTTAATTACAACATTTTTCTTTTAACTTAATTTGTCTCCACCTGTTTCAATCTAAGAATGCAAATTGAGATTACCAATAAATTTCCTTCAGATACAATGAAGACTATTGAGTATGATTTTCACTACTAGAACAAGTTAAGGTAACAATGATTTTTACAAAGTGATCATTCACCTTCATCTCTACGTGAATTCAAATAAAAATGCAATGAGTTTGATTTTGTGTTTGTCGTGTCTTTTGTCTTGCGCAAATGCAATGATGATGAAGGTATTATATAAACTATGAAGTGATACCTTAAAGAGGTGTCTCTTGAGATAACATATCTTTTCGATTAAAAGTTGTAACCATATTTTGGTTCATGAATCAACATACCTCTAATAACTAAATATTATTTAAAATAACATTTCATGAAGAGTGACACTTTTTTAGTTTATGTGGATTTTTCTTAAATAACAACCTTTAACCAAGTGGTGGTTGTCACACATTTGATTATAACCTTTCATAGATGCCTTTAAAAACCAAAGAAACAACCTTGATGACACTTAGTATTATAACTCCCCACACAATTCTTCACATAAATTTCTTAATTTATAAGGATGGGACATGACTTTTCAAAACACAATGGCTTCATTTTGAAAATATTCCGAGAGCAATCTGACTTTAGGATGCTGAGTGATGTATATTACATTGTGTTCAGTACTACACACCAATGAAGGATCAATGGGTCAATTTACGTTTAAGGTGAATGATCATAAATCATTACTGTTTTGAAGAATAAAAATGTATTGACTGTCATACTCTTACGAGTTATCACAATAATTAAGAAAGGATGATAGGCCAAAACATTTTAGCCTCCAACTCCAAGTATACAAGTAATGAGTAGAGCTTTTTTTTTTTTAATTTTAATGAAGAATTAGCATGAATCACTCAACAATTAGCATATGTCTTGAAGTTTTTTAAAATCCCAATGTTAGCATAGTCAAAATTGGACCCGAACTATTTGTGATGCATGATTCCTAATATTTACTAGCTCTAATACTTAATATATGAGCTAGCGAGGGTTTGGATTCGATTTTAAGTATAAGATTTTAATCTACTTTATTTTTCAAATTTGTAATTTATTATCTAAAGCATCCCTATAGATTATGCATATTAACTGGGTTTTCATCCTAGGAAAGACATTATTACATATAAAAGATACTTTAGAAAAATCAATTCATATCTGTTACTAATATAATAACTAAGTAAACTGTTTTTCTTAATGTACCCAAACTAGATAGGTATCTCTTATATTAAGGATTGGAGGTAGTATATATTTTATATTTATTGTGATATTTTCCATAGTATTTTGGGATTCCTCCATACATTTTGGATATCATTTGCTTACCTGATTAATTACAATAAACAAGATTAGTTGCATCAATCGGAATTCATTGGTATATTTGCGTTCTTGTAAGCAAGGTTGAGTAAGGACGGAGAAGCCAAGTTAGAAGGATGAAAATATCTAGAGAAGGATGTATAATAATGCCAAAGAATCAATGATATAAAACCAAAGACTAGACTGGCCAGTCTAGCCGATTAGACCTAAAATATGTCTCAAAATCGAATCTAGTTAGAACTAGTCAAATGCTGGCTGAACTAGTAAAAAATAACCAACTGAAACTTCAAAAAATAAAAAAAAAAATAAAAAGGGAAAATTGCTAAATAAAAATGTGAGGAGCATATGGCTATTTATCCTACCGAAGAAACTGTTCATGTGTTGTTTTGTGGATATTATGGTACATGATTACGGTACATTAAGTATGTTTGATATATACTACTACTTTGATCCTTAATATAAAACCTACTTTAGTAGGTCCTACATTAAAGACCGAAAGAGTACATTGGTGTAATCCAGAACTTCCCACACATTAGAAGAAGATCATATGTCCTTTTCGTCTTTCGCTTAAATCTGGTAAATAGCTTTAGTTGTTAAAATATTTTAAATATATAGTCATATCAAAGCCACGGTTGAAAGAACCAATTTGCAAAAGAGGGCCATCCATGTGGACGTTCGCGTTCCGAAGACCCACCTGTCAGGCCCCACATATTACTAAGAAAGAGAGAACCATTATTAAGAGAGGGGGAAAAAGTCAATATTGGAATCAAATATTTATTCTTTTTCTTTATTTTTAGCAAGAACATTTCTTCTTGTTTTCTGCTTTTATTCTAAAGCTGGATATTTCCTCTGATTTATCATAACACATATATGGTGTGCACGATATGAATACAGGCAAAAAACCTTGTTTATGCTCCAAAATATGATTTTAATCGAATTTAATACTTATTGAATTTAAACCTTTGGACAAAGGAAGTTATGCAAAGAATGCTATACCTTTTATTGATAAATTCATGACTCACTGAAACTGAAGTACAACCAATCAAATTCAACCACTATAGTAATAATCTGACTAAGTTAATTTCTTATGTATTTTCTCCTTAAGCTGTTGCGGCAGTGGAGTTCGCAACTTTCATGGCATCAAACCTTGGCTCCTTAGCCTGAAACTTAAGTGCAGCATAGAGCTTCATGTAATCTTCAAAAACAAATTTTGGATAAATCTGTTTCATTTCTTCTTCCTTTCCCTCAATCAATTGTGGAGCTGGATGAATAAAAGCATCACTTCCTGGATTGTAGAATGAAGCTACGGACATCCTCGTACCATTAGTTTGTGCAATCACACGATGTTCCACACTCTTGTACTTCCCATTTGTGATTACCTGTTCACGAAGTCATCAAGGCATGATTAAATTAAATTTAGAGAAATAAACATAAGTTGGGTCCCACCTGCGTGATATTAATCTCTCTATAGTTGCACAATCTGCTGAATTGTTTGTGATGATACATATCAAGTTGTAGTACATATAGACTTGGTTTGAATGGAGGGGGAAACGGGAAGAAAATAAGGAGGGAATACCACGAAGGACTACTGCCAAAAGTAGCAAGAAAATTTACTATTTTTGAAGGTTTTCCTTCCTAATATTCTTTTCTCTCTATTTTTCTAATTAATTAAGGAATAAAGTTTTATGGAGATATTTATGTTTAATACCTCAAGTTGGTCACCAAGATTCACCACGATCGAATGGCGCATTGGAGGCACATCAATCCATTGGCCGTCTTTGAGAAGTTGGAGTCCACAGACCTTGTCATCTTGGAAGAGAAGGATGATGCCACCCGCATCGGTATGGGCACGGAGACCTTTCACGAGTCTTGGGTTGGGGCAAGCAGGGTAGTTGGCAACCTTTGTTCCAAAATTTGGTCCTCTTGACCCATGGAACGCCTTCTTGAGGTAGCCCTTCTCCAGTCCAAGATTCTCACAAAGCAAGTCTAATAGTTCCTCCGCAAGTTTTTGTATCTGTTTTGCAAATTCCTTCATCACCTTCCTGCATTTAATTTGAATTTATATAGTTCAGTATATGTACATATACATGTGTATATAATAATATAAAACACATGTTTGAGTTTGATTTTTCACCTGTATTCTTCAGTAAGATTTGAGATTTCAGACAAATTTGAGTCAGGCAAGTGACGCAAGAAGAATGTGCTTTCCCAATCCATGTCCTTAACTTCAGCTCGAACACCTTCTAATGCTTTGCTTGCCACAAATTCTTTGAACCTTTGCTCCATGCATTTCCTATAATGTTCTTTTGTTAACCTCTCCACTGTGTCCAAAAGTTCATGGGCTATCCCATGGTTCACCAACTACAAAAGAAAAGCAATCAAATTTTATTTAATAATTGCCACCAAAATTAACAAAAAAATAATAATAATACTCCCTCCATCCCTTATTATAAGAAACAACTACTATAACACGGTTCAAAATATTAGTTAAAGTTACTTAAAAACAATAAATGTGTAAGATATATACATAATTTTCTAATTATACCCTTCTTTGTAAAGAGAATATGTGAGAGATACTTTGAGTAGAAATTCATTACAGAGATATAATGAGTAGCATATATTTAATGGAACTACAAATAAAAAGACTAGTTTAAAATTTCAAACAAAGAGAATTTATTTCTTATATTTAGAAACACTATTATGAGAGAGATTGTTTCTTATAAAAAGGAAGGGACGGAGTAATAAATATGCAAAGATGTATATATACCTCAAAAAATCCCCAATTCTCACAAGCGTCATTAATTTTCTCCATAGTGGCCTGTCTCTCTTCACCATTAAGCTTCTCCAAGTTGATTACTGGGAAATTCGCCATTTGAAAACACTCAAAACTCTCCGTTACTTTCTTTAGTTTCTGAGCTATCTTTGTGAGCTTCTATGCTTATTTCCAAGTAAAGTGTGTGGTATTTATAGAAAGCAGTTCAAAGACGAGGAAGACAGCAGGAAGCTACACTAAAGAAAGACATTAATTATGACTTAAACGCTTACATAAGTTGACCGTTGAAGAGATTAATTTGCGTCGTTGAATTTTCCACTGATAATTTGGTGTCTGCTTCACCATTACTGTGTTTTTAATGTGATGGGTTTTTTGTTTGTGTTTTGGATGATCTCACTGTCCCATTTCTTGGAAAGTGGGAAAAGTTAAAGCGGTCTAAATTTGTCTCAATTAATTCTTCGAGGTGTCTAGTCGAAGAAGAAATCACGGACACGCAAGCAAATTTGTAGGGGCATTTAATGATTAAGCTTTACCTTACACGTGAGAAAAGTGAGTTGGTAAAAATAATTCAGGTTCAGATCAAATGTCAATATGAATATAAGAAAGAGTTGGTATTTCTTTGAAAGTTAAAATAATTTTAAAAGCGTGTTTTTTTAAGATATAAAAATTGTTTACATATTCAGATAAAATGATATAACTTGTTATATTTGTAATATTAATATGGAATAAATAAAATTATTTTATTTTATATGTTTAGGTGCATAATTAATTGACATGTTAATTAATTCCCCACACTTATAATGATAATGGTAAATAAATTCCTTTTAAGAAAAAAATGACACCTGATCAAAAGAATAAACATAATTAATTGTCTCAGTTATTAATTTGGTCGCTGAGGTTTATATTAATTAAGTCCCTAAAGTTTCCTAACGTACACGATTAGTTCTTATAGTTTTAAGACATATAATTGTAGACACACATTGGCTAATAAGTGTAATCTGATAAATGCGGTAAGTGAATTTCTGATGAAAGTCAGTTGAAGAGCTAAATTCAAAATAAAATTTGTATTTGTATCTTTGACTAGTGAGTGAGATCCCTTGCAGTCTATAATTATAAGAGCCCTTTTAAATGATGCATCGCTAAATCTTGTCTTGTTGCTTGACTTAGAAAAAAGCTAAGAAAAAATAATTGCTATTATTATTTATCATATTATATATTCTCATTGCTGTATAATATGTTTATACAGACATTAATTTTAAAATTTTTGCTAAATCTAAGGCTATCCATAGCTTCTTGAATATTTGCATATATAATTATATATGACCAAGAATTTAAAAAACACACCAATCACTGAATTGAGCAAATAGTGGTTCAAGGGTTAGTAATCATACCATGATCATGACTAATTTTATATATTTTAATTTTATATGTTAAATATAGCATTAAAGGGATTTTTTTATGGGATTTAAAGGGAATATTTTATATCATGTTATTTTACAAAATTAAATTTATAGGACGTGTTTAAATTTTTGTTAACTTTTTTATTGTTAAATATCATTTTATTAATATATGAAATTGACAGCCAATAAGATGTGACGGTGTCTTCTCTTTAATTTAGCAAAACAATACATTTTTGGTTTTAAAAAATATAATTTAAGAAAATCAAAATATTTTATACATTAACAAATAAAAAGGATATAATTTGGACATGTAACATTTGAATAATGTATGGACCTATTTTAAAGTTCAGAGTTTTATGATGAATATAAATATATTTGCACATTTACCTCGTAGTTTTAATTTTTTTTTAATGCTTATAATGCATGATATGCATAAAATATAGCTTAGAAACACGAAAATTTTTTTAAAAAATGTCCAAAAATATAGCCAGTTCAATCTGGTTTCCAATTACTCAGTGTTTCCAATTTTTTTCTGATAATTTTGGACCGGTTAAATCCAATATTTACTAGACTATTTTTCGGAAGAAAAAACGCAATCACTTTAATGAGTACTTGCATGAAAATCTTTCTTTTGATGATGACTTGTTGGCTAAAACAATATGACACACATTGTAGTTGCTGCTTACCGTGATGAGTATAAGCTCAAAGGAACAGCCCATCCCAAAGGACTAGCCTATTAGGAAAGAGAACTTCTTGAATTTATAAACCTAACAACACTTGTGAAATTAACTAATGTGGGACTCATAACAGAGCATACCCCTTGAGAGCCAACGTCTTCGGCAGCTCCACTCTGCGACACTTCACTCAGACTTTTTACTAGTCAGAACCCCAAAAGATTGACACTATTACTTGGCGATTTCACTCTACAGCACTGCACTCGGTCTTCTAACTAGTCAGAACCCTTCGCAGGTAGCCCCTTTCGGTCGATTGACTCTCAATAAAAGCACCAATGTAACGAGTATAAGCTTAAAGGCAGAGTCCAATCCCAAAAGATTAGATTATTAGAAGAGAGAACCTCTTGAATTTATAAACCACACAATACTTGTGAGAGTTCCTAATGTGAGACTCATAACACTTACCACATGCAATTTCTATATTTTCAATCCCGTCGGTTCAAATTTTGCATTAGAAAACCGAATTAATATACCCAAAATTAGGTTTCTTTATTCTCTTCGGTCCAAAAGATTAGCCTATTGGGAGACATATGATTCACAAGAAATACATAGGAAAAGAAGAGTAGTCTCATTCCCAGCATTTGTCCCTTTGGAAAAAAAGTAAAATGGATTAAGTTCATGCATTTTGCTTATAAATGTTCTATTTTTCAAAAAGGAGGCCAAACACGTGGTTGTTGGTAGGATTTAATTTGATTCTGTGTAACCTTAAAAAGATTTTTACCATTATGATTCAAATCCATTGCTTTTCATCATTCACGCCATCCAAAAGATGATTTGGATTACGCAGGATGTGAAAAATATCATTCACAAGACTATTATTCTCCCAATGTATTTCATAAAACAAAACTAACCCCTCTTTTCTTTGCTCCTAGTTGAATCAATATTATGCTAACCTAGAGAACAAACGCACAAGTGTTCTCTGAAATTAAATATAGACATATAGGTATACAGATTAATCACTTTACTACTTGTTACGACGGAAACGCTTGTGGTGAGTGCTAGGTGGCAAATAATTCTGATAATTTCCAAACTTAAGCTTTGTTAAGGTAGTTGATTTGTGATGTTTCGCACCTTCAAATCCACTATCCTACCCAAACTACTCCCTACAGTCCCACATTAACTCTCTAAGTTTTAGAAAATAAAATCTGGATTTCACAGTGGCTGTGAGAAAAAAGGGAAGAAAATGGTATAGTGGAATGTGTTGGACTGGTTTTGATTTAACAATGGCATGAATTTTGTAGGACTTAAGTAGGGGTTGGGGAAATGTTAAGCCTATTGTGGGATTTTATCGAGCATAAGGAATGTATAATGAACCCTTGTGTCACTATTTTTTTGCTTTTCGTTTTGAATTAGAGGGGCAAACACCAATAGTCTGAAATTACAAGGAAAATAGAACCCACAACCTCCTACTTATGAAGAATCTTTCATGCTACTAGACTTGAATTGCTTTTGTGGGGGTGTTTATTGGAGGTTTGAAGGAGTGGATTGGCGTTGGGTTATGAAGCTAAATTGGATTTAAACCGTTGAAACCTTGAAATTATGATTTTTCTCCCCTCATGAAACCCTAACTCCAAGTGTTGAAATTAGACTAATTGGATTGATGGGTGTCATGAGTCCCATATCGGGAGGACTACCTTGAAAGAGGAACATTATAAAGCCCTGGGATCCCCAACCTCTGATAATTGGTTTTTTGAGAGATCGATATGGTTTTTTCAAGGACTTTTCTTGCTAATTGTAGGCTTGGGATGTTAATAGATATTAAGGCTAACTTAGAAATTATCTTTGAGCAGCCATCGTTGTTATATGTTCTTGAAATTATAAGATATGAACCCATACCCGGGCATCTTCTTGTGTTATTTCAGGATCTATTTTCCACTCTACACATATGGTGGCATTTTGCTTGCGTGCGTCACTTACAATACACGAAAATAGAATGGAGAATCAGCTTAATGTCTCAAGGAAGGAATGTAAAAACTAAAAAGTCTTATAATAACTTAGCAGCACGCAATAATAAATTTCAATGCAGGAAATGATAATAGGTTTATGCTATTTACTTGTCTTTGAGACTCTTTAGTGATTACATTTCTCTTTTGGAGAACTCATAATAACTCTCTCTGTAAAGAATGAAATTTAATTAGATGAGACAATATGATTTGTAATTTAAAGCATGGAGAATTGTTGTGAAGTTTACGAAAGAATATAATTATTAAAAAATCTCAATAATAATAGAGTAACATGTCATTACAAGTTATAGTATAGAAAATGACAACTGCTCACTTATCATTTGAACTTTTTAATAATTATCTTCTTTTCTTGGGACTTCATAGTAATTCTCCCTTTAAAATAATAAACAAAAAAGTTGGTTAGTAGGTGTTAGCCTAATCCTTAATATAAGAGTTAGTTGACTAATTTTGAGTAAATTAAGAAAATTTTTAGTTAGTTATTTGTAATAAATAGGTGTTGTCTTCCATAAAATACTCTTATTAATTTTGTGTGTTAGTTAGAACTACCATTTGATGAAATCTTTAATATGTACAATTATTGCAAAGACTATTTAAAAAAAATAGATAACTATAAGAGACAAAATGGATTGGGATTTTTTATTTAAGATCAAATTGAATGTCAAACTAGCTCTTGTATTAAGGATGGGAGGTAGTATATTAATACCTCCAATCTTAATTATAAGACCTCATTTGTAGACTAATTATAAGACCTTGTTTATAGTCTACGAGCGAGGTTTTATAATTATGACCGGTGGTAGTATTATACACTAATTACCTCCATCGAAAATACATTCATACATACATATATTAATTAATTATGCAAATTCGGATAGGTAGGGATTTTAAAGAATGAACGGAAAAGGAAAAAATGAAGAAACATTGTACTACTTCCGATTCAAAATATAAGCTAAATTTTTTTAAAGGAGTTGATTTTTTTTTTTTATAAGATAACATTTACTTTTGTCCAAA